GTATTGTTCTGTATGCACATAACATAATCTGTAACACCCGTCTTTTTAACACAAGGTACACCCAAAAACTTTCACTTATTATTTATAAAACACATTGGTGTATTCTTACATAAACAATCCAACACAAGTAGTTATCTACATGATTAGTTCAAAGAAAATAAAATACAATGATCTGAGTCTGGTATCACTATCTCTTCTATGATCTGTACTTCATAAATAAAGTTACCTGCAAAACACATATCATCAAAAGAATAAGCTACAAAGAGCTTAGTGAGTAATCCTTAACAAAGATACACAAAATAATTATGACATAAAAGACACCACTCATCGGTGTATAGTTTCTCTCTCTCTCTCTCTCTCTCTTCCTTTTTCTCTCTGTCACTATACACATACTCTATCTCTCCCTGTCTTTATATTCACAATCCATCTCTCTCTATCTCTATTCTTCGCTTCTTCATCACTCCTTCTCTCTCTCTCTCTAAGTGTCTTAATCTCTCTTAATATGTTTCTCTCACGATATATAGATATATAATATATATAGATAGAATATATATATATATATAGATATATATAGATATATATAGATATAGCCCCCTCTCTCTATTATATCGCTCTTAATATCTCCCCCGAGATACCTATCTCTTTATCTCCCTCCACATCTCTCTGTATTCTCTATCAATATATCTCTCTCACTATATAGATATATATATATATATATATATATATAGATATATAAGATATCTTTCGGTCTCGCTTAATAGATCTCTCGCTATATATATACTATAGAATATCTCTATAGGATAGAGATATATATATATCGATATATAGATATATATATATATATATATATATATATAGATGTCTATCTATCTCTCGCTCTCATCCGTCTCTCTCACTATCTATATATATATATAGATATATAGATATATATATATCTATTATATATATATATATATGTCTATCTATCTCTATCTAGAGTAATAGATATATGTGCTATCTATCTATCTCTCTTAATATATCTCTTGCTACTTAAATTCTATAGTAATATATATATATATAGATATATATATATAAGATATATATATATATATATATATATATATATGTCTATCTATCTATCTATCTATCTCAGTATCTCAACTATACTAACTCATTAACTCATATAACAATACTCTATTATATTTATTTCACTAATACTTGCTACTTAAATTCTATAGTAATATACAACTACCTGTCTCAATCATAGTTGTTTATTAACACTTCTCTTAATACTCTATTTTATATTTCGAAATCCCAAAAATGATCCTTAGGATAGGTACCTTGAAATTAGATGCTAGGGACAGAGAGTGAGGGTAGTGGGAAGGGGTAATCAGGTTGATGATCTGATAATAATAAATAAAGATTTAATTATTTTGGGTTGAAAACTCTATATGCTCACCAGGTTGCCAAGCCTGACCCACTCAGTTTCTTATATTACAGGTAGCGACACAAGAGCATAGGTGTGATGATATGATGTGAGATTTATGGATGCTTATAGGCCAGTAGTTTAGACAAACTAGTGTAAGGCTTGTATTATTTTGTTTATGCTTATGTATTGTATCGACAATGACATCCCAAGGTTTTTAGTATAAATAAAATACGTTTGTTCGGAAATGTTTTGATAATATCATTATCATGTTTTTGGGAACAAATTCCGCAATATTATTCTTTTAAGGATACTCTGATTTCAAAATAAGCATAAATAAATCGGTCTTTTCTGGCCGTAAAATTGGGGATGTCACAGGTTGCAACTCTCATAGATTAATGAGTCACCTCCTTCATCATTTCTTTCTCATTTATCAAATATTCCTTCAGTCATTGATTGTAGCAACCTCAGCTATGTTCCAAATATCAGTTTTTAATTCAACAAAAAATCAATGTTAGATAAATGAGAACGCACAAATATATAAGTTGCTCTACTTCACCCTACATGTGACTTGCATGTCTATTTGTAAGTCTCAAAAAGACCTAATCATAATTATAACATTAGTTTAAGCCTTAACACTTAATATGACAACTAAGAATATGAAGTTATAAGGAAATAATGATTATACCACTAACTTTTATTTCTACTTAAATCTCTTAGCACCAAGTCATCATAATAGACTACATATTAACACAAAAGGTCCTTAGATCGTTGACAAATGGTAGAGTATACAAGTTCACCCGAACACCACCAACATCTAGGATATCCGCAACCCGAAAACCCTTTCAATGTGCAATCCATGTGACAACCGTAAATTTTGGTCAAACAAAGTCAACCAGGTCAACTCAACTCGTATTAGAATTTTAGGAGAAATGTGAAATTCCCTAATGTTACTAATGTACTATTGACAAGTTATAATTCAAAGTACCCCTCTTTTTACCAATTATTGAATATAAACCCTAATCAGGGTTAGTAACGTAAAAATTCGATAATTCAATTATATATTTTTTAGGTATAAATAATATTCATAACACGATGTAGTTGAGTTCATAAACCGTATACTACATGACAAATTCATAACAAAGATTGCATATTGAAATTTTTTGGTGAATTCGTCACCAAATGCGACAGATTCTATACCCGACTTAAACACTTAAACTTTAACGAAAAGAATTAGGAATCATCCTAACTTTCGTGTAATGTGTTATTATTTTTGATGATAGTGATTTTTATAATAATTTGAATTTAAATGATTCAAATTAAGTAATTATACATCATTTTTACCATATTTTTTTTTATAAAAATCACCAACTCTTATAAAAATTACCCATTCTTTTTATAAAAATAAAAGAAACCACTTTTTGTTTTATATGATTATTACATTTGTACAAAGTATTATTATTAAATTTGAGAAGTCATGCTTGAATATTGTATTAAAAAAGCCACACCCTACCTTCTCCCCCCACCATACCCCCCCCCCCCCCCTCTCCTTCTTATTCGGCCGAGACCCCCCCCCCTTCACTCCATCTTCTTCATTTTCTTCTTCTCCTATTCAAGAACAAGTCATTCTCTCAAGATTAATCTCCATAAGTTGGTTCTTGATCTTTTGCTAAGTTTTTCCTTACTAATCTAGTGATTCTATACATATATATATATATATATAGATATATATATAGATATATATATATATATATATATATATATATATATATATATATATATATATATACTAATTTTGTTACAATTACACACATTAATATGTGTTAATATCCATAGGATATTTCAATCTTCAAGTGTTCTTCAAGTGTTCTTAGCTTGAAATCTTTCATCTTTACCTCTTTATCCACCAAGAAACACACTCAATGTGAGTTCATACCCCTCATTTTCATCTTTATCCAAGTTTTAGGGGAGAACACAAGTAAACTTATATAATTGTACAAGTTGTTATACATGCTTACTTTCATGTTGTGTAAAAATGTTATCTACATGAAATAATGTTATTACCTAGTATTATGAACATTTATGTGTGGTATGTTGTTCAAAATGCAAATCTATGAAAAATGAGTATAAACATGATATGTGTTCTTAAGAAAAAGTCATAAAAACAAAACTATAAAATTAGGGTTTTTATGAACATAATATGGCTTTTCTAGCAAAAATTGTTATCACTAAGTTATTACATCATTTTTGTGGGATATAAATCAAAATATGTTATTTTGGACATATGTTATAAAACTAGTTATAAATACCAAGGATTTGGTTTTACAAAAAGAACACCTAAAAATCCACAATTTTTATGTAAAAATTAGGGTTTTCTAGCAAAAGTGGTCATAACCAGGTTATGGTACCATTTTTGTGAGATTTGACCTAAAATATGTTGTTTTAAACATATAAGGTTAGATTGATATAAACTTTATAAAAAGGTAAAAATAAATTTTACAAAGTTTATAATTCAATATTTACCGTTTGGTGATGTAAAAGGCCAAAAACTAGAAAACTGGCTTTATCATAGTAAAATTTTATATACTTGTGTTAGATGTATAATATATGTTATTTGTGAACATCTAAACATGTTTACTTATATATATATATATATATTTATATATATATAGCTATAGAGAGAGGAGAGAGAGAGAGAGAGAGAGCTAGGTTCATTTGTTTAAACTACTTGTGTTTCTTGTATGCATAAATGTGGGCCCCTCAAAATTAAATAAAAAATTAAATAATTAAAAAATAACATACGGGTAGTCTAGTAATTTGTTTAGTAACTACCAAAAATAATCCCTATAATATGGTATTTGACTTTTAACCTAATTTCTCTAGTTTATAAAACCTACAAGTCACTCCATCGACCAACGCCCACAGAAGATCCACCATCATCGATTCGATGAGTCACTCCTATAAGGCACAATGCCCTAAAGCCGTGCCTCCATCTTTTTCATCCTAGCGACTCCCACCGCTGTCACATGATGTTAGTGGTTCATCCTGTCTGCACTGTCGCCGCTTCAAATACTTCAATTCGGAGTCTATGTTACCTGTGGAGGTTGGAAATTTAAGTTACTTTCTTTCTCCTAAATTCCCGTTGGTAAGATTTAAGTTCATGTTCTGTCAAATTTTAGGTAAAATGGATTTATCATGGATGCTTGATTGTATTGAAATCTTGTTCTCCCAAACTCTATGTTACATAGTCTTATGGGTAGTCCCACGCCCATGCTCGATGAGGGTCAACTGGGAAAGATAAAAATCGGCTTTTATCTTGTTGCCCTTCAAGTTTACCTACAATTTATCTCAATCACTTATCTGATTCTGATTATTTCAAATCGCCTCCACTCTGTCTCTTGAAAGTTTTCTCCCTAAATCTAAAAGGGTTGATACATGGTAAGATTTCTCGTATTTTCATGTTTTGATCTTGCAAGTATTTTCATGTTCTTATTTTGACCCAATTAAATCTTTTATTGTAGATGTGACGAAAGTACTGTGTGAGCTTGATCTAGCAATTTAGAGAGTTAAAGTGACAACCCCAGATGGAAAACTTATGTACCTTTTCTTTATTACAGATGGCATGTAAGCCTCTATCTTGTTTTTTACAATGATTTGAGGTGAAATATTAATGAATTAATAAATTTTCATGTAGGGAGTTGCTTCACACAAATATACCATGTGAGGAAACATGTGAACATCTAAGTGTCGTGTTAGGAGGATGTTCTATCACATGTGAGCTTGAGGTAGGGGGAGAAGAGTACGATATTGAACTAGGACATTCTTGTGTTTCAGAACCAGTTGCTCAAGAATTGTTCAGAGGATGCGATGTTGAGGTTGATCCTTGTGTATGTCATTTTCAAGATCTCCAAGGATTTCAATATCCGTGTATGTATATACACTTTTTCTTTACAAATAATTAAACGGATTTAATTAATTAGGAATGTTTTTTTATTGAATTGGGTATTTTTATATAGATTGTACATGGGAGAATATGGAGTAGTGATAAAGGGTATAGGAGTTTGGATCTATTTATTCAAAAAGAAGATGTGAAAAAACTTAGCCAGGCTGTATTATGTTGTAGACTAAAGGAGGAGATGATGAATCCATTAAGACTTATTATTACAAATCCTAGCCCTGATACGGAACTTGTGGTTGTTGATCATGTCGAGTTATCTGTATATGAGGTTGGTGTGTGTATGGAGGATTTAGTACAAGCATGTGTGGCATAATGAGGATTGCTTATGCTCAGGTACGTTTGATTACTCCCTCTATTTTTATTCTTTTTTATAACAGGAGTTTATTATTGATTATCAAACAAAGTCCCTTTTCGTTAAAATTGTTTTTTGCTAGAATTGATTTTTTTTGCTCTCTCACTTTGTTGGAATCAATGTTGCTTTCCTTTTTCTCCATTTACTTTTATCTTCCAAAGTTTTTCCTTTTTTAATAATAAGTAGAATTTGAGTGAGCATAATGTTTTATGTTTTTTTTTGACCATTTGATATGTGAAACAGGTATGTAACCAAGCAAGAATACACCTTTCTGTAGACTGATATCAATCGGTCAAATAGGCTAGCCCCAAGGTATAATTCTTTCAAAATAAACTAGCTGAATTATTTATTAGATTATAAAACTTTGAAAGAATTGGAGTTGATAATTTTTGGGGAAATGTACATTCGCTCAAAATTATTAAAATTTGGTTTATTATTGTCTTATAAAAGCATCTCCATAATTTTTATTCTCTACTACATATCGATTCCATGACAGTTATTCTCATAGAATACGTGAAGGGAAAATGATGATCAAGGGCTTGAAGGTTGGATGACAGTGTGTGATATGAAGATGAACAATGGTCACCGATCTTCTAAAAAGAATGGACTATTATCATTATATTCTGGTAGAATAATCTAAAATATAATGATAAGACTATATGTAATTGTATATTCCAGTAGAATAATTTATATATTGTGTTTGTTTGTTATTAGTGAGTGTAACATTATCATAGAATAGTACATAAACTTTTTATTTTCTAAGAATGTAATGAAAATTTTGAACTTGTATCCAAAAAACATACTCTTAAAGAAGTTCATTTTCATGACAGTTATTCTCATAGAATGAATGAAGTACATGATGATCAATGACCCGAAGGTTGGATGAATGCGTTTGGGATAGACATGAACAATCCTCAATGGTCACCGATCTTCCAGAAAAATGCACTACTCATTGTCATATTCTGTTAGATTAATCTATAATAGAATGATAAGAGTATATGTAATAGTATATTCCAATAGAATAATCTACATATTATATTTGTTTGTTATTAGGGAGTGTTTCATTATTATAGAATAAAATATAAAGTTTTTTATTTTTTCAAGGATGTGATAGAAAAAATTTAACTTGGTCTAAAAATTGTTTATTCTGCGCGAGAAGTAAGTCTCTTATAGTTTTAGTATGGCTTGAATTTTCATAGAATATCATTATAAAAAGAATGTCATTCTGACAGAATAAATCGGTTTAATTATAAATTACGTTATAATTAAAATTAAAGTAATTAAAAAAAATTATAATTTTAAATCCAAGAGAGTTAATTATCCCAAAAAATATGGATTTTCCTTTTTTAAAATTATCTCAATTGTCTAAAATACCCTTAGAATGAAATTAGATGGTATTTTTTCAATTCTCTTTAATTAAAATATGTATTAATCCACTTTCTTAAAATAAGTAAAATGATTGGGTCACATTTATGCATACAATAACACAATAATTACTTTGAATAGAATAACCTAAGCCTATATATATATATATATAATATATAGATATATATATATATATATATATATATAGATATATTATATATAGATATATATATCTATATATATAGGTACAACGAAATTTTTCATAATAAACTATAATAGGTATAGTATATGGGTCATTAACACTATTATAAAATTTTGGGACAAAACGAATAATTATATAAAAGTATATAATTATTATACACTATATTAATACTATGCAAAAGTGATAATTACACTTACAAGGATTTTCATTACACAAAACGTGAACTTGTTGAAACAATTATGTGAGACAAAGTCTTCACCGTACCTACCAGAGTACACACTAAAATCCTGAATTATAACCAGAATCCCGGTAAGAGAGCGTGATACTTGTGTATAGATCTATACGGGACTGACAATCCCGCACCTAAGCTACTAGCTACAGCTAGACCGGCAGGTCTGGGGTGACAAATGTCTAACATTCCGACGCTTGAAGAGTGTCACGGCAGGCCAACTTCGGTTTTAGCATGTTTGTAATAACTCACATGGGAAATCAACGATACATTTAGTTTACGGGGTAACATGCGTTCAAATGGTTTTATATAAGAATAAAACTACATAATACTATTTTTTAGTATAAATACTTACACATTTGGTCTGTAGGGGTTTTAAGACTACAACTCATTTTAAGAAAATATTGGATTTTCTGGGAAAAATACTATCATTTTACAAGGAAAGAATTACAGATTTTTATCTATACAAAACTCTTATGAACTCACCAACTTAATTGTTGATACTTTTCAAAACTACTTGTATTCTCAGAAACCGTTAAACAAGTAGTCACAAGGATTTTGAGGATGGGACGTTACGACGTCGTACTATTCATTTTTGTCATCATAATGTAATTGGTTTTGAAACATACAATACTTGGAAACAATGTAACATTCTCAATTATATTTATGATGATTGTGTTTGCTTTGATCACTATTGTACATTATGTTGTGATACTGTTCTTGAAGTCATCCAGCCCCAGACGTTTCCGCCATCTTGGTTTGGGGGTGTGACAATCCATAACTCAAAAACCAAAGCTCCGATTGATTTGATCCCAATAGAATTGGAAAGAAGATAAATTTTCCTACAACCCACGTCTACGATGGTTTTTACCATTTCGATCCCAGTTATGCTCTATGTTGCATATAAGATCCGACTTGTTGTCTCCCAGGCTCCCAACAAGGTTTTACCATGAATAAAGGGCTCGTTAATGGTTCACATTAGGGGTTTCTCGATAGGATTTATATGTTTATGAAGTTTAATTGCATTTGGCACAAAAAAGCACCAATGGACTGTTCTCATGAGTTTTTGACATAAAGAAACATCAATAAGCGAAACTAGAAATCAACTTATGATCGTAAACCATTCCAAACAACTCTAGGGCCACAACTTGCTATTTTCATTTGTTCTATACATCTACATGAGATCAGAAGGAAATGAGTGCCTTAATGTTTCCCAAAACATTAAGAAACATTAGAAATTCAAGCCCACGTGGTTGTTTCACCTTTAAACCCAACCACGATGATTCATTATCATTATTTTGTGGTGTACGACATTCAGGACAACATACAAGCAAAAATGGGGGATGTTTCACTTGTTCTAGCATTCAAAAGTCATCACAAGTACCAAGGCTCGTAGTTCTGGTTTCTAACAGCAAGAAACATCCATAAACTCAAGCCTAAATGGTTGTTTCCCATTCAAAAATGCAACCACAACACATAGTGGTGCTGTGGTGGTTTCTTTAAGGTTTGGGGATGTTGGTGGATGTCATGGCTAGTATACAGCCTAACTAATCTCAAGAAATCGATCCACGACACACATATACCTGTAGAAGTCGCACCATAGTCCCAAAATTTGATCCAGTCTTCTTGTCGATCTCTTTCCCGACTGCCTCTGTTTTCTCGTTTCTCTCTCTCTCTCTCTCTCTCTCTCTCTCTCATTTCCACCTTTCTGTTGTATCTAGATAGACATGGCAACGGGGTCGAGG